TGATATCAGTGCTGCGACACTATCCTGCTTTGATGCTCAAGATTTACTTTGACGTCAAGTCACCCTGCTGTACCTGTGCACTAAGTTACCAGCACAACTGTGTGCAACCTTAGTGACCATTCATCAAGCACGTTCCCAGAACGCCACATAGGATGGGTGGCTGGATGTACCATAAATAAGGCCAAATAGTCGAAGTAGAGTACAACTGACTACGGAGTACCTGTAGATGTCTCCTAATGTACAGATCACATGCCTCCTTTTACTCTGGCTCTACTCTGTACTCTGTGGTGATGGCAAATTACTAGAAACAGTATGGCATCCCTATTTTGGAAAACTGCCCTGTTATTCCTTGGCATTGATATGCATGTTCTATAAAGTTGCCCTCTATTGCTACTTCAACTTCATCACACACTTCATGATTTTCTTTTCACAGCTTTGCCTCCATGCCATTAATCCATTCATCATGCCCCATGTATTATGCCACCCGCCACCCCTTTTTCTGTAGTTGACTATCATAGTTATATCAGTTCTATTGCTTTTGGAGCTCCTAGCTGAGTGTCATAAGAAATCCCTGATACTCTTGGGATCCTGCTAATGATAGATAATGGCCTAGCTGTGTTCACACGCAGTTCCTGTCCCATGGACTCACACTGGTGATTTTCTATCGGCAGAGCTGTAGAAAGAGCCAAGTCATAACCAGCTCAAGATGGCAGCCTGTTCCACCTCGATATGTGCGTTCTTCACACAAGGATGTCAACTACAGGAATGGAGTGAACTTCATGAACTTTCATTCCTAGAATTTCCTCCTAAGAAGTATGCACCATGCAAAGCAAAGACAAACAAAGATTATAAAATGCGCTTTAGGAAATATTGAAGGGCTGCTGACAGTGTTCTAGTAATATTTAGATGTTGAAAGGTCACTATGCATTATTAATTTGGAATAGTATTCGGATAAGTTGTAACCCAAAAGTTCCCTGCTAGTTGACAGTTGAGCTAGCCTCTTGAGAGGCTCTCGCGCAAATATACCAGACGGGATTGGTTATCCTTACTCGTGAATCTGCAGTTAAAAGCTGGCCATAGTTTGTGCAAGACACATGCAGTAAGTTCTCTGTAACTACCTTCATTGGAATGGGTAGATAGATAAACTGTCAGCCATCAAATCCACTACGCTAAAAAGGTGTCTAGACGACCATTTCTAGCATAGTAGAAATGATAGGCATATTCTGTTTGACAATAACTATGGTTTTAACATGGCCTAGATGAAGTAGTGGACAGTTGGTGGAGTAGTCGTAGGCGAAAGAGTGGTAATCAATCATGAAGCCTCAATATCAGAAGCGAGCTACATCGTGCCATGGAGAGCAGTCAACTACTTCAGTCGTATACAAAACTCGACAAAAAAGCTGTATAAAAGACTATGGACCGTTTGTGACCCTTGATACAGCCAATATGGATACCAGTATCTCAATACGAGCCTCGGCCAGACCGGATGACTTAAATCGGGATCTGGATGAATGTATTCAGCACCGAACGCACGTCATCCCAGCAAGCGACCATCGAAAAGGCATCAACTCTTTAGCAGCGATACAAGGGACAAGACGGAGACACAATTATTGTCTGTGTCTGTCGTTGTCTCGACTTCATGATGACCCTCCGACGCTCGGCCCGCCTGACTGCGGCGCTCAATAACAAAGTGCTGCCACCGCAACCGCCAAGTCAACCAAAGAAATCAAGCAGGCCTCAGTCCACCAGCAGGGTCAACAAAGCGAAAAGCCGGTCTAGAAAAGATATCAATGGCCTGAAAATCAGCGCTGAACAGCTTCCTCTCGATGTAACTCTCCCAGATACCGGAACCATAACCGTCTCAAACGACAATGGGGAGACAGATAACATCTTTGACCTCGTATCTACCGACCCTCCTAGCAGACTACATGCCACCCCCCCTCCCCTTGACCGACCTGTCGAACCGCATAGGACAAATGCAGCACTCTTGACACCCCATGGCTCCTCTCTCGTCGCCTACCCGCCCGGCTCGGAGAGCCTTTCTCCCTCCAAGACCGGTCGACCCCGTCCGACCGCTACGACCGGTACCCTCCTCGAGAAAGCCGTGGCACATCTAATCGCTACAGACTCGCGGCTGGAGCCGCTCATCAGGCGCAATCCATGTCCTCTATTCTCCCCTGAGGGACTGGCGGAGGAAATCGACCCCTTCCGCAGTCTCGTCAGCAGTATCATCGGTCAACAGGTGTCAGGCGCTGCAGCCCGGTCTATCAAGGACAAATTCGTGGCTTTGTTCAACAAGGAAAACGACGGACAGGACCCTGCGAAGCCGCGTCGGTTCCCAACACCAGAGGAGGTCGTCCAATGCGATCTCGCTACGCTACGCACGGCTGGACTCTCCCAGCGAAAAGCCGAATATATCCACGGACTATCTCAGAAATTCGCTACCGGGGAACTGAGCGCGAGAATGCTGCTCGATGCCAGTGACGAAGAGCTCATGGAGAAGTTGACTGCCGTCAGAGGACTAGGCAGATGGTCCGTTGAGATGTTTGCCTGCTTTGCGTTGAAGCGAATTGATGTCTTTTCCACTGGAGATCTCGGCGTGCAGTAAGTTAATCGTTCACCATGCCAAACCTCAGCGCAGCAATATGCGTTCGACTACTCCTGGTAAGCATAACCCGCTAATGATGAAAACAGGAGAGGCTGCGCGGCGTTCATGGGAAAGGACGTGAGCAAATTAAAGGCTAAAGGAGGCGGTAAGTTCAAGTACATGGCTGAGAAAGACATGCTGGAACTGGCTGCGAAGTTCGCCCCGTACAGGTAAGTTGGTATCGCAATTTCTTCACTTACTTCCCCAAAGCTGGGTCATAAGATTTTTTTCTCACGCTAGCATCGCAGGAGCCTTTTCATGTGGTACATGTGGCGTGTAGAGGATGTCGATGTCACTGTAATGAACGCCTGAGGCCCGCATGCGACATTCCTCGAGTATATAGAGTCACTACTCAAATTGGATCAAATAGATCGCTGGGAAAGATGACATTGCTCGGTTTAGACGGCAACATTGCGTCGACTACGCAGGAAAGTATGTCGTCACAATCTGACCGATATATCTCAGAATTATACAATCGGGAGGTCAAACTCGCCCCAGTCTTCACTACCAGGGATGAACATACTTGCATCACGACTGCAGTTGTGATTTGCATGACAAGCGGATGATCAGAAAAACGACGATGAATTTGTACAGTAACAGTACACATGACTTGAGCGATAATCCGATGTCCAATCAAAAATTCAGCCGCAGGCTCGTAGGCAAAGCACAGCCGCTAAATCGTACAACCCCTTCTTCGTTATTTCCGTCCGTCTATTACCCTAGTGACACGATTCCGTATCCTCTATGCGTTATGACTAGGGATCAAGCCATCTACCGTCTAACAACGAGGGTGTCGAGGTCCACACGCTCCTTGTTCTCCCTCTCAATCTCGCGGATGATGGGGCTCAGGTACTCGACGTCCTAGAGAGCGAAATTAGCATCTATGATGGTGCTTTATTTAACCCACAAGTGCTTTCTGGACGCATCTCGAGACCGGATAAGTGTGATAAACCCGATACAACACAGTTGACAAATCCGCGTTACGGGATTGGCCAAGACCTATGCGGGGAATTGACGAGGCCGGAGCAAGTATGAAAATGCGAAATCGACTCACCTCCTCGGGCTTGGTCTGCTCATGAGCGGGAAGGAGGGTGTGGGAAACCGAGCACTGTGTTGATGAGGTAAATTAGCGTTGATGTCCTAGAGCGACCTAGACGGAGACGCACCTGGAAAGCTCTGCGGATACGGAAGACGCGGTCGTAGGCCTCCTTGGGAGGAAGACGCTTAATGGCCGTCTGAACAACGTCCGACTCCTCGGGAATCAGGTCATCGAATCTGAGAATAATCAGCTTGACTGCTTGCACAGACAGGTCAGGAGTAACATGTGTCCCAGATAGCGACCAGAGAGAAATCATGCACAATCCGACGTTGTACAGCAGCGGTAAAGTTCAAGAGCGTCGCTGTCGCATAACATGCTCATCTGGCGCTCATCCTGGGAGGGTTGAAGGCGGGGGCTGGCTACCTCAATCCGAGTTTCCTGTAGCCGGCGGCGTCGGTGTACCACTGGGCAAGTGGCATCATCCAGCGCTTGAGCCATGGGCGCTTGACAATGTAGTTGGTGAGAGAAGGAGCGGACATGGTGACTGATCCCAGATGGATGTGGATGGGAATCCAATTGAGGGCGTGGTGTGGGAGGGAAGATCGCGAGAGGTCAGTCAAGCTGCAAAGAGTGACCCGACGTTGGAGATTGTGCAAAACGGAGGTCCGGCCGAGATGACTTTCCCAAAAACATCCGATTTGGCAGCCTGAGGCATCAAAAATGGTCGTGGAGGATTTCGATCTATGTCATGTGATACTAATGCCTCAGGCTGGGGCCCTGGCGCTTGGGACCGGAATATATTATTCAGAAGCTACCGTAGTCACTCCACTCCACATGACTGCCGAAAGAGGTACGTTGATTGATCTTGGCCACAATCATCCGCATGGCCCGGTTCTCGCCTTGTATTCCAATCTTCCCATCAATCAGACTTCCTCTCCTTTACATATTCAGACCCGGTATCGCTTGCCGGTTTGGTACGGGGTTCTTCATCCTTTGAATTATATTTTTGCTCCTACACTGGAGCTGTGTCACTGCTACCGGCCCCGCCCATTCTACACCTCCGAATAAACAAAATTCCAGGCATATCAGCGCATTCGCCAATATCAGCTCAGCTACGCTTATTCCTTCAGTCGTCTAAGGCAGACTGTGTCGCTTCCTCCTACCGCTCTAATTGACGAAGAAATATTCACGTAGAGACCTGGTCAGAATAGGGTTTGCTGGGTTCCGGAGCGAGCACCGACATGCTCGGTTCCGGGAACCCTCGTTGATTGCAAAGACGGACAGAGAAAGCTGCTAGGGGAGCTGACCGGAGCGATGTTTTCCGACGGTCACGGCAATTCAGGAGCCGCCAGCAGCTCTGAAGAGCAGCAGATATCGCACTCGAACAACCTTGCGTCATCCGACGTTCAAATTCCACCTGAAGCTCCGTCCAGCCCCAAGTTCGTCACAAATCTTGAGATATGGACCACAAAGATACCGGATTACTACATTGCGCCATTCTGCGGCGCCAGTGCAGGTGTGGCCTCTGGAATTGTCACATGCCCCCTTGATGTGATCAAGACGAAGCTGCAGGCGCAAGGCGGATTTCTCCGACGAGGCGGCGGAGTCGTTGAGGCGAAAACCCTCTACCGTGGTATGCTAGGTACTGGGCGGATCATATGGCGACAAGATGGAATTCGGGGTCTATATCAAGGATTGGGTCCCATGCTCTTGGGATATCTGCCTACCTGGGCCGTATATTTGGCTGTCTATGACCGATCTCGAGAATACTTCTACGAAACCACCGGTAGGTAGCTCTGTGTGTTCCTTTCTCTGAAGGTAGAATGTCAGGACTAATAATCCGTGTCACATCAATAGATAGCTGGTGGCTTTCTAGAGGCTATGCATCAATAACAGCCGGTGCTTGCTCTACTATAGTCACCAATCCCATCTGGGTCATCAAAACGCGGCTTATGTCACAAAGCCTCAAGTCCAACAGTGAAGGCTACACGGCTCCATGGCAGTACTCAAGCACTTGGGATGCAGCCCGCAAAATGTACAGGACCGAAGGGATTAGGTCATTCTATTCTGGTCTGACCCCGGCGTTACTTGGGTTAACGCACGTCGCCATTCAATTCCCGCTATACGAATACTTGAAGATGGCCTTTACCGGGTACGGCATAGGGGAACATCCTGATAACGGTACCTCCCACTGGATTGGCATATCTTGTGCGACATTCTTAAGCAAAGTTTGTGCCAGCACTTTAACCTACCCGCATGAAGTGCTACGGACAAGACTTCAGACACAGCAAAGGACATCTCCAGCACCTTCTCCCGAAGAGATCACATTTCGTGGAGGTTTAGATCACCCACAAGACCGCGGGAGGCCTCCAGGAGCGGCCTCATCGGATGGCATGCCCAACCGCCCGCGGTATACGGGCGTTATCCGTACATGTCAGACCATTCTGAGGGAGGAAGGCTGGCGCGCATTCTACTCCGGCATCGGGGTGAACCTATTCCGGGCTGTACCGGCTGCCATGACCACAATGCTTACTTACGAGTATCTCCGTAAGCTAATTGGTCACTTGCAACATGAGGGAGAAATGAAGCTGCGTATGGCAGATGATAGAGAAAGAACCACGCTGCTGCGGGATGAGTAAATAAGCAGCGAATGGTGCATACTAGACGTGTCTTGTTCTTTTCCTGTTTCAGTTGAACTATGCAATCTTAACCCCCTAGAGGTGACTCACGGGCTTTCTCACTAGGTGGTCAGTTGAGCTGAATATGTACCCATCCATCTCCAGCTTTGACCATACTATAGTTGGTGCACTGGAGCAGTGGGCGATCACACGGCTGTCCTACGCTCCGCTCACCAGCAAAAGGTCTGTCAGCAATGGTCATCGCTACGACATTTGTGGGACTTATGGACTCACTGATATATGGTCGTCATGCTCTGCAGGATATCTATCTTATAAAGCGGTCTTTGTTGTCACATTGCCGTCTTTTTCACCCTTGACGGTTTCGTTGCATGATCTGCATCTTTGTACATACAAACATACATTATTATTCAAACCTACCGACGTTCTCAACTCCTCGAAAATACCGTCAGCAAGCTAAATGACCCAACCTGTGCTATTGGGTTCCTTTCCAGATAATACTAAGTATTGAGCAATGTTTGATACGCAGACTCGGTTGATCGCCCTCAAATACACCAAGATGATTTCCCTATAGAGAAAGTGTTTGTTTTTCCTTTTGAAGGGTACCGCTCGATGATGTCACCCGTAATCACGTGATTAAATAAGCGACACATTATTGCTTTCTCAAAATTTGGGCAATTTTCCCTCCACCTCAAAGAAAACAACATGCCTGGTAACAGCGAAAAATTTATGCAATGCCTGCCTTTGATGAAGTGGTACGGTTACATTACTTATTATCATCATGAGCTGTTATTTTAAACCAGAATGAGGTCATCATTGCAGATATCAATCTGTGTGTCTGTTGTGTTTCAAGGAGGGCAGAGCCCCCAAGTTATTCTCGACCTTCCTTTGATATGATGAACATTCAAATGAAATGGTAGATCCAGATTACAATATACTCTGGATATGACTATTCACATACACTGAAAATTCTGATCATGGACTTCGAGAGATGAACCCGACAATGACGCATTGTGTGGAAGGATTACCGCAGATATTTTTAGTGCATCCAAGCCGCAACAATCATGAGCATTTTTCTTGGACTCCTTTTTGACTCAATATCAAGCTTCTGCTATCGTACAAATCCAACGCAAAGACTACCCCGACCGATTTCGCCGCTCTGCATCTCTGCTCTCTTCTAATGCCTGCTGTACCCATGATTGGTCAGACTTTTCCACGGAGAACTTCTGGGCCCTTGTAGTCGCGGTGACTGGGGAAGATTGTGCCTCGCGGCGAGCGGAGTTGATGGAACTGATGCAGTAAGAGCATAAGATAATTGCCATGGTAAAGGCAGCTATCGGAGCATTGAGAGACTACTATGTTGTTACTTCAGGGCAACCGGTGAAGAATGCCACTTGTGAGACAGAGCTGTGACAGCGCTGGAAGGATATTCAATAAGTTGTACTTACCCCAGTTGTCCTCCCCAAGGGTTTCCCCGTTCCTCCTTTCCGAGTCATGGTAAGATGACTTCAATCCGTCTTGACTGCTTCCATTCACAAGTCTCAAGGCAGATCTTGGTGATGTGAAGGTTGGCGGATATCGGTGTAATGTTTTCCCTGAGTGCCTTTATCAGATGGAGGGCTGGAAGATAAGCAATTAATTACGTTAACCAGTATCACAAATACAGGCTCCTGTTGGCTGCAGATTCCCAGCCACGGTATCGTGGGGGTAATCAATCAGTTCCGCGCGCAGCTTCTTTTGCTGTGTTAGAATCGCCTTAGAAACACCGTCGTAGAAAAAAGTACCGCAATTTGGATCAGTGGACCACTGTAAATAGGGAGCTAGTCCTGATTTGATGTTCAATATCAATTAATCAGCTCTTGGAGTCGGCATTTTAATGCCTATTCTGGTTAAAACAATGAGCACCGCCGAACGTCATAGTGTAATTATCTCCGAGGCCGGACGGAGCGGAGGCGACGGTGTTGCTGGATTGGGTTTAGCGCATGTAGCACAGGCGAGCCCCCAAAGAATAATTAATCGATCTTTCGTCGACATCACAACCTCGGGTACATCATCATACTCTATCAGCATCTCTTTTTGCCTCATCATCAATCCAACCGCGCATCACCTTTTAATCGCTAGCTATACAGAAATCAAACACACGTCCATCAACCATGTTCCGCCGTTTGGCTACTGTCGCCCCTCGCTCAGTCGGCACTGTCGTGTCGCCTCGCGTTACGCCGGCCATTTCCAGCATCCAGGCTCAACCCATCAACAGGGCGTCTCCTGCTCCTCAGAGGAGAAGTTATCACGAGAAAGATAAGTTGATTGACGAATTTGGGATGCTTCGTCCGAGCCAGTCAAATGCTGACATTCTTTGCACTGCTAGATCATTACAACAACCCACGCAACGGTATGTTTGCCTATCTTGATATGCTGCTTTCTTTTCCTCTTTTTCCTCGAAGCGTCGGTGGGAGACAGATGAATCGTCAGCTGTGGCCTTTCTCGTTTCAAAAAGACTCCTGTCAAGACCGCGCAGCGAACTCCCATCAAATGAAGACGGGATCCTACAACGGGGAGATTCTACACCTGGGAGGGCTCCCTGATCGGTTTCGCACCTCGACTTTTCCAAAGAATCAATCACTATACAGCGCTCTTACGAGAAGACCGTTATAGCCAATCAACTTCCATCTGTCTCCTATGCGCTCGAGGAGGATCTCAAGTTTCAGCATTTTTTCAAGCACTTGTTCACATGTACATGCTTCTGCAGGAACTGACATATTTTTAGTTGGCTCACTACCCAAAGATGCCCCTGACGTCGGTCTTGGTCTGGTCGGTGCACCTGCTTGTGGTGACGTGATGAAGCTCCAGATCCGGGTCGACAAGGATACCAGCAAGATCACCGACGTCAAGTTCAAGACTTTCGGCTGTGGTAGCGCGATCGCCAGCTCTAGCTACCTGACCGAGTTGGTGCGAGGAATGACCCTCGACGAGGCCTCTAAAATCCGGAACACCGACATTGCCAAGGAACTCTGCCTGCCTCCCGTCAAGTTACATTGCTCCATGCTTGCTGAAGACGCCATCAAGTCGGCCATCAACGACTACTACACCAAGAACCCCAAGGCTGCTAAGACTGACCTTTCTGGCACTGGGGCTTCCATTCCCAACGTGGAAAAGACCGAGGGTAGCGCCGCGAGTCTATGATCTGCTTGAGCATGAAAAGTAACAATATATTCATCAAACACTATTACGGCGATACCAGATGAGATCTGTTAGGGTTTATTTGTTCGATTGACTGGCGTACCGAGACTGCAGATTGCTTGAATCATTAAAGCATGCGTTGCTCCATTGAATTCAACTGACGGGTTGAATTTGTCTGTATATTTTTCTTTCCTCATTTCTCCCCCATGCTTTTTGTTTTTGACCCCTTAAGCATGCATCATGATCATGAATCTCGTTCAGTTATAGGTTCGTCAATAAGAATGTGCATCTCTCTGTGATATGATTTCATTTCAAAAACGCTCTATCACGTATTTTCCCTACGCTACCTCAGTTCCAGCAGGGCTGTAAGGAAACTCGTCCTGGGTATGCCCTGGAGCCGTCCTGTAAGCAAGGTATCGCATTAAATTATGAGGTATCAGACTGAAGTACACAGATATTCAATCTATCTCTAAATGGAAGACGTCTAGACTTACAAAACAAATCTTTGTACAAATCTCTATACATGTGGAGAAAACAGAAAAGCGAAAAATAGGAAAAACGCCGTCGCTGATGATGCAGACAGACCGAACCCATCCGATCGATCCGCCGCGTCTAGATGGTAAAGAGTGAAAGAAGAGTGTACAGTGTTACAAGCACGTCGGACTGGAGAAAATCAAACGGCATGAAGAAGAGTTAGCCGCTCTTCTATCCGATCAGCCCAAGCCGACTTTTCACAGACAGCAGAGTCTCGTAGACGGACAGTTTCAGTTCAACCCGGAGATAGCCCGTCCATGCGCAGAGAAACCGGATGAAGTTGAGCGGGCGGAGGATGCCGCCGGTCTCGTTGATGTCCTCCATCTTCTCTTCGAAGACGGTACGAGTGGCGTAGCGGGCCAGGATAAGGAATGTGCGTACGGGACCCTGTCGGGTATGTAGATTTTCGTCCAGACTGCGGGCTGAAGGTGGAGAGCAGGCGATGTTAGCCGGGATTCCAATGAGAAAACAGAAAGATGGAAAAGAGTGCATTGCGAACAAGCATAACTTACTCAGATCGTTTGTCTTCAGAATCAAGAGGATGATCCTGGGTACCTGGCCCAGCAACTCAACAAGCTGTTGCAGCATGCCCTCCCCGAGCGCATCGGAGATGTTCTCCTTTTCGGCAGCCGTGCGTGGAGAAGCGACATCCTTCTTGGCTAGCACGGTGTAATCTCGTCCGGTGATTGCGCTCGCGAACAGGGGGAATTGCTCGTCCGTAATACCTGCGACCTTGCGCGCATACTCCCGCATGCGGCCTTCATCCGCCTCGATGACCGCCAGCCAGAGCTTAGCGTAGTTACGACGTAGGTCGCGTGGAATATCGCGGTACAGGCCGTGGTCGTAGAGGATGATATCGAAGTTGTGACGGCGTCGGTTGGGGTTCTTGCGAATGGCAATGTTGCCGCCGTGGGGATCGCAGTGTAACGGGGCATTGTCTCCGAAGATCATCTCGTTGAAGACATGCGCGAACGCGGCGGAGACCTCGTCGCGGTCAATATGGTTGGAGTCCAAATATTCAAGATCATCCGGACGATGGCCAGAGAGGAATTCCATAACCAGAATTCGTTTCTGAGCCCACATGACTGATTAGGCGTTAGCAAAGCTACTGGACCTGTTTCACAGTTATAATTGGGGACAAACCTTCCGGAATGACTAACGGAGCATCCGAGTGCTTTTTGAAGTACTCACTAGCCCTCCTGGCATTCTCTGCCTCCATGCGGAAATCCAATTCCTGAGGTAGCGAGAAATCCATTTCGTTCGAGAGCCACTCTAGATCATATTCCGGG